CCTCCACCAAATCACAGGTATCTGAGCTTATTTTTTCCTGGAAACAATCACTTTTCTTGCACTGCATTTTATGTATTTGGTTGTACAACACTATTTTCAAGAGTTTTTCCTTCACAAGTAGTGGTGGGCTCCACCACTTGCCAATATAGTTCTGATTGATTATTTTGTACATGCTGTAGAAATATGATCAGAGGAATTATTTGGAGAGGGAAAAAAAAAAAGTAGTATTTCCATCATATTTTCTTTGTAAATTGGACGGATAATTGGCAAATGTTTTATGAAAGTGGTTACTTCTCTGTGCAACTTTGATTTGTAGAATATCCATCCTGTCAATGCCCATTTTAAGCAGTTATACGCTTATGCTATGTGGAAAGTTGTCTAGATAGAGACCTCATTGTGAAAGTGATGGAGTACCAGATGCTGAAACAGGGATAATTAACATTTTCCTAAAATCAGTGCTATCTAATGTACGCAGAGAAAATCATTAGTGATTTGTAAGAAATATATATTTGGGGGGAATAAATCAGGTTTCCTTGTCTGAAAAGACTCTGATGAATAACTGGAGATTAGATAAGCCTGTGAACAAATTTTAATTCAACTTTCCAAACTAGTTGGGTGTGTATTTAGTCACTTTAGAGTATGACTTTAAAAACTGATGTTGCCAACACTCCTTAAAAAAGAATTATATTTCAGAGGACAATCTAAACTTTCTCTTTGAACCCTAAGTTTCAGGCAGTGAGCATGTGTGGTAACCTCTTCTTGGTGTAAAAAGACCACATTTTCTGTGCAGTGGAGAGGGTTGACAAATTGTAACATAAGCTTACAATCTGGTCCAGAATGTTTACCATTAACTGAAAAAATGTTATACAAGGAAGAAATGTTTTTTCACAGTTTCCATTATATATGTATATATATGTAAGTACATATACATTTATGAGTGTATATGTAGGTTTTATAAATTTTTATTGAGCTGATATTAGGGAAGTGACCTTCCAGTAAGACCCAGCAGTAGAACTTCCTACAACCATTTAGGGCTGTACTGAAATCAGTGGAATATTGCCTACTTGCAAAAATAGGTACATATATATCTTAACAGGGCTGAATCTCTGTACTAGGGAAGAATTATAAAATTACTCACTGTAAATGTTCTGCAAATGCATCTTTGAATTTAAATACCTAAACAATGAGATTTTTGATTTCAGATTCGTGTTATTGGTTTTCCTACACCATGTATTTTATCTTGAAAACTCATATAACTTTATCTTTTCCACATCATTCATTTTATGAAATATAGCAAGCCCAATCCTATTAAATGATTTTGTTCTTCCTGCATTGGGATAACAAAGTTATTGTGATATAGTATGAGAAAATAATTTTTTGAGATAAACAGCCATACCAATATTACGCTGTATATTCTACCTAGATTAATAAATACTTCATCATGAGTGTATTGCGAAGGACATTCCTCATGTGTAAAACTTCTATTTGGGATTTCCCAGGTAGAAACATGTCCTGCTGGTCATGAATGCCTAGGAGATACAATAAAGTGAGGTAACAAGGAGACACACAACGCGTGTCCATTTTGTCCACATACCTACTAATTGTAGGCAGTTGGCTGTCTTTTTCTTCTGCCAGACAAAATCTGTGATAGTAAAATTGGATGCCTTCTGTTCCTCTGGATGTATGGTAGGCCAAGCTACTATGCATTATCACAGAATCATAGAATGGCTCTGGTTGGAAGGGAACTTGAACATTATCTAGTTCTAACCCCTCCTTCCATAGGCAGGGATGCCACCCACTAGATCAGGTTGCCCAGGGCCTCTTCTAACTTGGTCTTCAACACGTTCAGTAATGGGGCATCCACAGCTTCTCTGGCCAGCGTATTCCAGTGCCTCATCACCCTCTGAGTGAAGAATTTCCTCCTAACTTCTAATCTAAATCTCCCCTCCTTTAGTTTAAAACCATTCCCCTTGTCCTGTCATTATCTGACTGAGCAAAAAGTTGCTCTCCATCTTTTTATAATCCCCCTTTAAGTATTGAAAAACTGCAATAAATAGTTATGGTTATGATTTGCTTGAGTGTGTAACTGGCTGCATGGAGAAGTACACAAGATTAGTAATTGTTCTCTAAGTCTGTAAAGAAAACCAATTTTAAAGGAGAGAACAGCAAATAATGATTGCTGCATGCAGTGACCTTCAATTATAATGTGCAGAGCATTATAGTTACAGTGGCTCACAACACGGCAGATCTTTCATGGGGTTTCTGAAAGGGAGTTCTTGCTTTCTATTACTCCTTTAACACTAGACTTTTTAAAGTGTTTCTTAACTTTTTTCTTTCTTTTTTTTTTTTTTTTCTTTTTTCTTTAGCTTTATGTGAAGAACAGTATTGCTGTCATAGGTCACTGCCAGGGGCTGTTAGTCCCCAGCTATTGAAACCAAACTATCGTTGTACTGGATGCATTTACACTGCTGCAGGTTAGCCTGGCAGGCTATAAGTGAGAAAGATCCCAGTCTAAGATGACATTTAGAGACTATAACCTTGCCTGAGATCTGAAAGCCAGAGCATATGTGAGATGCAGAATGAAGAGTTATTTGAAGTTCCTGCATGTCATTCTAGGTTAAACTTTTGTCATCTCTGGTGGTTAGTCCAGCTGTAACATCTTGCAACATCTGTTTTTCTGGGACTCACCATTACTGAAGAAAACATATGGAATCCAGGTGATCTGACTGGGAAAAAAACAAACAAATAAATAAACAAACAAACAAAAAAAAAAAAAAAACACAGATAAACCTGTTGTAATCTGATGCTACAAGAATCTGTTTTCCAGAAGTGCATGTGAATTTAGCCATCAATAGACTCCATATCTCTGGAGTGAGATAGAATGAATTTCAGTGTATTTCTTTCCTACTCTCCCTCTCTCTCTCTCTCCCCAGTTTTATCAGTAAAGTAATATGAAAGGTCATTTCAATGTCCAGTGAACATCACATCTGACATCGGGTTTCTGAGGCATGCATAGTCACTGTCTATCCCTATGATTTTTTTTCTGCAAGCCCTGTTTGCAGGTTTGCCTTAGAAAATGCTCAGAATGTAAGGATAAGGATAAGATATAAGATCACTTTTTTATTTTTTTATTTTTATTTATTTATTTTTTTCCCAAAGCAGTGGTGTCCTCAGGAGTTACAGGGGATTTTTATATAGGCCAATAGTAGCTTGTTGAGACACTTAGGATGTAATTAAAAAAAAAAAACCAAAACCAAAAAAAAAACCTCTTGATGAAATGTGAAATGGGTATCCATCTACCTGAGGGGTAAACTGTAGGAGTTTGGAGTGTTTAAGGAGTTTACATGTTTATAGAGGAGGAGTTTGGTGTGTTTAAGAACAATGTTAGAGACATTATTTACCTTTCCTTTCCTCCTTCTATTTATTATTATTTCCTAGCTAAAATGTTTCTTATTTATTTTTTAATTCATCATTATTTTATATTTAAGTGTCATAGTTGGGTTTCAGACAAATTGCAGCATTGTCACATAGGGCTTATATTATACATATGGTCACCTCTGCTCTAAGCATGAAGGAAAGCCGGAAAGGATAAGATAGAAGCATCTCATCTTTCTAGGGTACCCTTAAACTCTGCAGGTTGGCTGTTTTGGTACATTGAAAATACCCTTTTGCCCTTCCAGTTTACACTGCCAAGTGTCCATGTTACAGATTATGAATATGGATTAGGAGTTAGTTAAGCCCTAAGAAAGGTTTTTTTGACAGCAGCTCATCCTCTCCACAGAGCTTCTTGCCTAAAGTTGATTCTCACTTCTTATATTTGGCAAAAGAGGAAACTAGATTCGTTTGTTTTTAATTGTTATATTTTACTTCAGTTCCACAGTCAAATATAAAAAGTGTTAAAACAATGACATATTTTACTGACTGCTGTTTTGTTGATGAAAATATCTTAGGAGTCCAGGTGTTTGACAGCCTTATTTTATGGTTTAAACATTAAGCCTAGGAAAAGGCTCAGAATGAAATTCTTTATGCTATTGTTAATGACTAACCTATGAGGAGGGAAACAGTGTAGGCAGGACTTGTTACAACACTTGGTGACATACCAGATTTTGAGGACAACAGACAACAACGTAAGAGTGGGGCAAAATACAAAACCAATGTGATACGCACTTTGTGGAGCATCAAGACATCAGCCCACAGTAGGTTGTAGCACTTCAAGGGTACAACCTGATTCCACCATTCCAACCACAGCACCAAGAAGAGGATGGTGACTTCTTCCATCTGCAACTGAATTGTTATCTGATGGATTCCATCACTACTGCTTTTCGTTAAGTCCCTGGAAATAGTTTATACTGAGATTCAAAAGTAGAAGTGATAAAAGAAGTGAACTGAAGGTGAAATCCACCCCTGTGGCAATCATGTGTAGGTGGTGCCTGGCTACATTGTCTTTTGGCTTACATCTTACATCTGTGGTGTGTGAAGGCAGGCTGAAATGTTCTGTTGAACTATGCACATTGCTGTTTCTTTGCTGTGCTTGGATTTGTGCAAAGGTAGAAGACACACCAGTGTTTTCCTCAGTTGCTTGGGAGATACACTGCAGTGGAAACAGATAGGCCCCTTTTATTCTACATATGGAACAAATTAATGAAAATAGCAGAAAGGAGTTTTGTGGCATCCTTGTTTCCTACCAAGTAATCTGCACAAGAGTGAGAGGAAGTAGCCTGTTTTCTCTTTCCTATTGATTCCTACTTCATACATAGGGTTTCTATAGGTTGGTCTCATTGTAAAGACTGAGCCCTTTATATTTTGCTTTAGTATTTTATCAGACACTGTGGGTTTACTTTTCCCTACATTTAGAAAATGATAAAGTTGAGAAAATCACAATTTTTTAGCTCCAAAAGTCAGTTTATTGGTTGTTGGGAGAAAAGCTCATAGTTCTATGAAAAAAAAAATAAGTCTTTTTTTTTCTTTTTTTCTTTTTTTCTCCTTTGATAGGAGAATTGTTATATGCCCCTGAGAGTCTTTCTGGTACCAAAAATTTGATGTAATGTAAGGATCCTTTTCCATTAAAGAAAAAGTTTATAAGATAGTCTTTTCAGACTTTTGATTTGGGGGTTACCCATAATAAATGTCTAAGCAGATTATTATGAAGAGAAACAACTACAGGTGCATGCAAAAATTAGTGCAGTGTTTGTCAGAAAATATGAATGCTCTAGGATTTTCTAGCAGTCACATTCATCAAAGCCCTTTGTCTATGATAACATCGGTTCTATGTCTAATTCCTCCCACTGGAAGTACATTTAGTAGCTGTTTTTCATGTTCTGTGAAAACTCTTGAAAATGAAATGGGTTTCCTGCAGGGCATTCATTACAATGATGTAAATCCAGAACAATTAATCTGAAGTTGATGATGTTACTTCATATTTACATATCTGTAATGGAGAATACAATCTGGCTCCATATGCATATGAAACCCCAGTTAATGTATAACTGGCATGGAAAACAATAATTTTTAATGTGACCTTTTATAAATTTTCTCAGATTTTTTTTTAAAGGAAAAAGTGCACTGTGGTCAAGTAGCAGACAGTGGTGCTGTTGATTCCAGATTGCATGTGTATTACTCATAGATCCAGCTGTCTGTCTTCATTTTCACTCACCTTTGGAGCCACTGGTCCCTCATACTGAAACAGCAGCAGTTGTACCTGGAGGGGATACAGGACTTTGTCCAACTTATTTTTAATGGCTGGACATCCGTTCAGACAAGCGAGAAAGCTCTCAAGAGCAGCAACAATCAATGAGGTAAGGTGTATGAAATTACTATTTTCTTCCCCGTGTACAGCCAAGCATTTTTTATAATTCAGCAGCCTGGGAACCCATGTCTGTACCTTTCAGGAAAATTCCTGTTGACTTGGGTTTGTTCCTGACAGATACCTTCAGGGCTGGGCCTTGTTACAATTAATAATATCTTCAGTGCCTAACTCTTGCTTTTGTGTGTCTTTTCTCTTTTCTTAGGAAGGAAATTGAATTTGTGTTCAAGTCCTACCGGGTCAAATGGTTCACAGCAGCTTTTTCTTCTGTTATCACAGCTCCTCTACCAACTAGAAAAAGACTGGGAGCAAATCTTGGTCTTGGAAGATTAAATACTCTTTGATGGTAAATTGAGCAAAATATAATGGGGCAGCAATAATTGCTACTCACTGCAACTGTATTTAGTCTTAATATTATTTACAGCTGATGAACTGTCACTTTTTTATTTTTCAGATAACAGAGGTTGAAGAACTGATCCTCAAAGCTGATTTGTGATGAATGGCTTGATAATTGGCTACTTCCTACACACTGCATTTCTCCAAAACTATTCTGTTATTTAAGAAGTTGATAATCTCCAAACTATTCCTATTTTTTTCTTATGATACTGAATTCTTTTCTATAAACCAAGTCAGCGCTGAGGAAAGAAGTCAAGATTTTATTTTCCTTTTTTTTTTTTTTTTCTTTAATGACTTTTATACCAGCATGTTGCTGAGGTTTTAAAATAAATATATTTGTTATTAGCACTTACAGACATCTCCTTTTCTAATCTTGTATTTTTGTTGAATGAATGCCAGTAGTCAAATGTCTTGCCACATATTTGACACACCTTCAAACATACTGTGCTTTTGTTTGCTCTCCATTTTCTCTCTATAGCAGTTCCTGGGAATAATCAAGCACAATAGAACACTCAATGCTTCTTTTAGATCCTCACTTATTCAGGGAACTGGATTTGCAAGGTGACATAAGAGTGGTTTTAATAATAGAGGAAAGAAAGAGGGGGAAGTAAAATTCACCTTTAAAACTATTTAATCGTTCTGCTCTCTTTTATCTTTCTTTTTTTCTTGCTTGTTTTGTATCCCTCCTTTCACTGCTTTGGTTTTTTCTGTTAACTATCCTCTATTCCCCTCCATTTGCTTCCATTTTTCTAGGAAGACCTAGCTGAAAGTTTGTGTTTATGAACAAAATATTAGATGTAGATAATAATATCAATTACCAGAAAAGAGGACTGCAAGGAATCACCAGAGTTACTGAGTCCTATCCTCTGGAAATGGCAACCTATGTTATAGACTTTTAGTCCAAGAAGGTCAACAGTTCAGCTCACTAAACGCCACAACATCCAAGAAGTTCTGATTAATAACCTTCAGCCTTCTAAGAAACAATAGTGGTGCAGCTGTAACATGCCATGGGAAAAAAGTGAGGTACTGAAGTCATCACTGATGCCCTAGATCCCTGCAGCAGCAAGTGATTTGCTAGGTGAATTTCCCAGATGGTCCCTTTCATTTCCTACAGAAGAGGGAATCAAAACCAACAACCTCCAATAATCTCTATCACTTTGCTTGGAGTTTTGTGTGCCCTACGTTTCATCAAAACATACTGCCTTACATTTTACCTCTAACAGTGACTAAGTTTGAATACCTCAAATACATGACAAAATGCTGCTACGTTATTTACCAAGGCAGGGAGGGGTTGCTGATGCGGGTAAGCAGTGGAAGCTCTGAAATGTGTGCTGTGTAAATTTAACACAACTAAACAGCATTGATCAAATAATCTTTCAAAATACATGGCAACAACTAAGCCATTGACTGTTATGTAGATTAATGAACAGTATTCTTTTGCAAGCACAAAAAATCCTGGAAACTGGATTTGAGAAGTACATAGACAAAATTTACTTTTCACTGGGCACTGATGACAGAGTATGAAAGCATAACCAACTATGAAAATATTCTGCCAAAGGTAGGGGTCTATAACAGTTGTGAGTTTTCATTCCAAACATAGAAGTATGACATAAGATGAAACATTTTAATATTGGGTGAATTCTATATGCATCTGTTAGCATACTAAGCTGCTTCTTGGAACTCACAGTATTTCCGTATACTCCGGCTGTTGCTTGGATCTTTACATGGTACAACCAAGTATTTCCCATACATATGCTCAGCTGTTTTGGTCACATATTGTCATTCTAGGTGTTCCTTCACACCTGTTCAGTCTGTTTTCTTAACTCTTCCTATCATGAAGATGCCATGAGCTACTCCCTGGATCTGATGAGTAACAATATACATGCTGCTCTGTTCATATATATACATACACACACAAAAAAAATACATACATACTTTGATATATATGTGTATATCTATTTATTTATATATCCTTTTTTCCCATTGTCTGATGAGAACAATCCTATCCAGTGGCAATGACTTGAAGTTGAAGGCATCATACAGACGAATCAGAAGCATCCGAAGTTCTCATGTCTCTTGTTGAGGCACCTGCAATGGCACACACTTAATCTTTGTGTACAGGTGCTCCAGTAGACGAGAGTGTGTGATTGTCCTCTTTTTCATTTTAATTAAAGTCAGAATGTGATCTTGTATGTTGCTTCTGACTATTTTGTATTCAGTGCTTGGGTAGAGGTTGTGATGTAGTGTGTTTCCTCCTTTCATATTTCTCATGGTATTTGGGAAGTGTCTGACTCCATCAGGAAGATCCTCTGCAGACCTCTTTGGAATTTCTGCCCTGTACACTTCGCCTTTGCGCACCTGTGCTGTGCTGCATCTCAGGCTGAATGAAAGAATCTGCAAGAGAAACGCGGAAAGGTGAGTTGATTTCCTTAGTGGTTAGCATCAATGGCCCCATTATGGCATGTTCTCAGTATTACACTATGAGCTCCACATGAGTGCTCAAAAGACCGCATAGATGTTCTTTTGACCTTTTGTACTGAATCAGTGATATTTCTTTTTTTGACCCCTCAACCTTCCCCTCCCCTTCCCAACCATCTTTGTACAGTTACTCATAAGCTCTTAAAAAATCTTTTACAGATGGAACTCCGTGGGACAGGGCCTGTACCAAAAGCTGTACTGAACAAAAATAAAGGTTTTAAAACTTCCTGTTTTCCCCAGTGTGGTTGCTTAGAGGGAATAGCTGTGTTTAGTGGAAAAAAGGTCAGATGACTCTGGGGCATGTGTGCCATCTTGTACCCTTTTGTCTTAGACAGGAGGTGGAGGAACAGATGAATGAGATGCAGGCATCTAGTGGAATATGCTTCTTGTGATAATGTGCCTTAAATATGACTGTCTCACAAGGCTGATTCTTCCGTCTGATGTAATTCATCAAATGGTTTTTGAAATCCACCTCTATACACAATAATGCAATTAAATGTCCACTCTGCCTTCAGGCAGAATCACGTACAACTTTACATAATATTGAAAAAAGATTTTGGAAGCTATAGTGAATTTGAATATGTGATAAAACACTGAGGAGCTGAAAAACTTGCTACACAAGGATAGAATTACATTTCTAGAGATAAAGCAAAGTGGCAACTTCACAGATTTTCTCATTGGTTCTTACCAATTAGTAGTTTGTCTTTTATTTAGAAGACAGTTACTAAAAGACTCAATGGATGAAACTGTTTATTTTTTTTAATCAGGGTGGAATTGAGATAGACCATTTTTACAATGATTGTAAACAACCATTCATATAAAAGTAGCTGATTATTACATGAAAATATTATGTGTAAGACAGTTGTTCTTCTCCTAAATATTTGTTCTACTTCATGTGCAAGGCTTTGGGCATGGTTGTCATGTAGGAAAAGGGTAAAAGGTATTTCCTCCTGTTCAAAAGTTACCAGGTGATGTTCTACAGTGCAGACTTTCTCTTCTGGGCTTAAAATCCATGAATATGCAGAAGTGTAAAAGCCTTCCATACTGCCAGTTCCCTAGCATAAGCTTTTGAAAAACCTGGTCTCAGTGTCTATATCTCACAGACCTTAGTAGATCTTTGCCCTGCATGCATATGCTTTGGGAAATAAAACCCAGTACAGGATATTTATTTTTGCTGCAGTCACCATGCCACTCCAAGATCATTCTTATTAGTATAAGAGGTAAGTAGTTTTTAAGAATCTCTCTAAACTGTGTTGAGATGTAGAGCTTAGGGATATGGTTTAGTGGGGACTGTTAGTGTTAGGTTAGAGGTTGGACTTGATGATCTTGAGGTCTCTTCCAACCTAGAAATTCTGTGATTCTGTGTGTGATTCTGTGAGATCACCTTTTATCTTCTTTATTTTTCCCTTTCTATTTTTTTCCCCACAGGATATTAACAGAGTATGCTGCTTTGCTTTTACTCCTTTTCTATAGATAGATTTTTAAAATCATATTTAATGCTCACTTTCTAGTTATGTTTACAGTGCTAGTCACTTATATCTAGGTCTGTATATGACAAATTAGCAAATTAAAAATGAATTTAGGCTCTATGAATCTACCATTTTATTGTGAGGCTATTGGTTATCTCTACCTGACCTATTCTGCCCATGTAGATGTAGGCAGTGCCAGTGAACTTATCATCTTTTGCTAGTGGAGAATTATGTCCCTTTACATTTACATGATGCTACAGTGTTACTTTTTATTTTTGTCATTTAACATCTTTAACTTATACAATTACTTTAATTTTAAGGATATACTATTTCTAATAAGATAATTATGTGCATAACTTTATACAGCAGTAATGAGAAATCTATACCTTAACTGATATATTAATTGTCAGGGGTTCCTATATCTTAATTCTTTGCATTTACATAACATGTATGGGATTCTAAAAACATCATTAAAATAAATCAACTATTGGATTGCTCTTGTGAAGCAGGTATATTCCATCGTCATCTATTCATTTGTAAATACAGGCATGAACATAATTCACTGACTTTCACAAAGCCAACAAAATCCATAGGAAAGCTGGAAAAGTAATTTTTTTCCTGTGTGCAATTACTGAACATTAATCACAGTACCAATCCTTATCTCCAGACATCGCTGTTCAGTTTTGGTGAAGACAAAGTTTGCTGTTCAGTTTTGATAGACGCAGAGCTGACTTCAGTTGAATAGCTGTTGGAAAGGTTCCTCTGGTTTTGTTAGCGTGGCGAAAATTGAAATTAGTTTTAAATAAAATTTTGTTTTAATTTATGCTTTGTCAGAACTGTAAGGATGACAACTTCACTGATTACTTTGAAAAATCTGTCTAGCCTTCTTCATGAAAACGTATGTATGTATATACGAGAGATTTTATGGACTACATTACTGATAGTTATGTGAATAAACCTTACTTGCCTTAAAGTTAGATATTTACATTAAATGTAATTATATACCTTCTCTGTTGGGAGTATTCAGGTAATACAAAAATTAGCAGATGTGGCATTTCATCCTGGTTTAGTTCAGTTCAGTTGGGGTTCAGTTGCATAGACATGGGCTTTTAGTACCTTTGTAGGGATGCAGGGTTAATCTGTGCCCAGCAAGCACCTCTCTAGAAGTATATGTTTGTCACACTGTCATCATGGCATATTTCCCTGCACTGTGTAGTACTCTTATGCCACTTTAAAAGAGAAGTGGAGCTCTGTTGCCTTTAAGGTTGTCATCTGTTTCTCTTTTAGGCTTCTGACTCGACAGCTGTGTGAGTTCAGAGTATTTTTGTACAAACCGCAGTTAATTCCATTTACCTTGATGCTACAGTTGTGTTTTTTTTTTTTTTTTTTTTCTTTTTCTTTTT